GGTTCTAGAAACAGTGAGCCTGATCTAATTCTGTTAGCCAATTCTGGCAGCTGCCTATGTTTGTAAATAAAGTCTTATTAGGACATAGCTACATCCATTCATTTATGCATCGTCTTTTGCTGCTTTCCTGCTACAATGGTAGAGTAGCTGTAATAGAGACCATATGGCCCACAAGGCACACATATTTACAGAGAGTTTGGCAACTTCTGGTTAGATGATCAGTGTATTCTACTTGCACTCACTACTCCAATGGCCGAAACCTATATGGAAATCTCCATGTCTAGCCTTGATTTCTCTTTTGACCTCCAGAGGTTGTATCCAGCAGCCTACTGGCATTTCTACTTGGAAGTCTCATGGGCATCTTGAGTTCAGTTGGTCCCAAAGTAAACCTGCCTTCTTTCTGCTCAAACATGCTGCTTTGTGTTCCTTAGCACAGTGACTGGCACCATGTAGATCCCCATGCCAAGAACCTGGGTGTCATCCTACCTTATATCCTCTTCCTCACCTCCCATGTCCCTTCGGTCTTAACCTCCTGTTGATTTCAGCTTGTAAATATCTCTTGGCACTATGCTTGAGGTCTTGGCTGACACTGCCCTTAGCCAGACCCTGGTCATCTTCTGCCTGACCCAGTGCCATCACTCTCCAGCTACAGGACCTCAACAGGAAGTCTCTATGTTCATAAAGGTCCGAGGAAGTGGGACACTGTGCCCTCCAAAAACGTAGGTTGGACTTGTCATTGAGTCCTGTGTCCATAAAATAGGTCATTTTCCGTTGTTTTGTGGTTCTTTATTTTTATTTATTTATTTATTTATTTTTTGAGACGGAGTCTCGCTCTGTCGCCCAGGCTGGAGTGCAGTTGCCGGATCTCAGCTCACTGCAAGCTCCGCCTCCCGGGTTCCTGAGTAGCTGGGACGATAGGCACCCGCCACCTCGCCTGGCTAGTTTTTTTGTATTTTTTGGTAGAGACGGGGTTTCACTGTGTTAGCCAGGATGGTCTCGATCTCCTGACCTCGTGATCCACCTATCTCGGCCTCCCAAAGTGCTGGGATTACAGGCTTGAGCCACCGCACCCGGCCTGTGGTTCTTTATTTTAAGGGTCTGTTGTTTGGTTGTATTTAAAAAGAAAATGGTAATAATAATCCCAAATACATGTACTTTACTTTCAAAGCTTATAAAACACTTTCATTTTCATGATATTATTTGATTCTTGGACCGCTTGGGGAGACAGCTATTGCAATTATCTGTGTTTATCCATATGAAAGGATATATGCTTACCTAAGGTCACCTGCTTTGGAAGTAAAAATCAGACCCAAGGCCCCTGACTCTGTGTTTTGTTTCTTCCTTTCTTTCCTTTTCTTCCCTTCCCTCACTTCCTCCTTTTTTTTTCTCTCTCTCTCTTCCTCTCTCTCTCTCTCTCTCTAAGATTCTTCTTCCCAAAGCATCTGAGGTTCAGCTTTCCTTTCCCTTGAACACTAGAAATCCATCAGGTAATATGTTATATGTCTTGCATTCCCACTACGAAGATAAGTATTAAAAAATGACAGCAACTTATTATTTATGGCAATATCTATTGTTACTACGGGAGACAGACCAAACAATTCCCCATTGTTACAGATGCTACTCTGACTTGACAGCTGGGAAAGTCTGATAGGCAGTTTATTTACTTAGCCATTTAACCAAATAAATGTTTTCATTTTTCTTTCATCTCCTCAAAAGCTAACATTTTGCCCTTAAAATTGCTCCAGCAACACATCAGTGAAGTATAAATTACCTGCCATTCCCATACCAGCCATTATAATATTATTTTGGTTCTTTTTGCCCTTGTTGACCCAGTCTTTCAAAGACACGTGATTCTCCCAGATGGGAGGGTAGAGGAAAAAAATGAAGTAATTGAAGATATTTTCCTTTATTGCTAAAACAGAACTGCTGTTTGAGATTGGCCCTGAAGCTTCCACCTGCGGGGATTGAGTCCGTCTGTTTCCTCTTACTATGGTGTGATATGGCGTTAGCTTATCAACAGATGTCATCCCTACTTACTCAGAACTGTGCGGGTATTTCTAATAAAAAACAGCTGGTGATAATGGTTGCAAGGGTGATAAGAGGGACAGGACTCTTGCTTTCCAACCATATGAAAGCAGAGGGGAAAAAAATAAAGCCATGGACATAACTAACCCTGCATGGTCTCTCTTCTCCAAATGTTTGGAAAGGCACTAAGAAATTGCAATCTGTAAATTTTCAGCTGGGTGGATGGGAGAATGGGATGGAGATGGAAAGATCAAATGTGGCTTGTGCTGCTGTCGATGGAGGGACCCAGAATGGTTCTCCCAGACGTCCCTCATGTGTGTCATAGTGGCTATGTCTGCAAAGCTGGCATCTGCCCGTTGGCACTTGAATCTCAATAACTGTGAAGTGGCCAGGCTAAGCTTTCAAAGGGAGAAAATTACTTCACTGAAGATTACAGTTCAGTCCTCCTCTGGAGCTGGGAGGTACTTATTTTGACTTGCATGTGATTCTAAGACAGCTCATTTTTTGGCAGTGAGCTGTGTGAGGCCCAAACCAGGGCCATTCTGGATTATGGGATGGGACAAGCCAGAGAGCTAAGCAGCAGGCTTTTTTTTTTTTTTTTTCTTTTTTTTTCCCCTTCCAAAGCTGTTGTGACACATATTGAAAATTAATTATCTGAAGATAAAGTACAAAGCAAAACCTCTCAATCAATGGCCTTATACATAAAGGCTAAATGTATAAAATCCAAGAGAGTGGGGAGCCTGCATTAATTGGATATATGTGATGATGATAATGATGATGGTGATGGTGATGATGATGGCAGCTAGCATCTATCAGGTGCTTTCTGTGTGCTATACACAGTGCTAAAAGCTTCACATACATCACTTTATTTAGTTCACACAATAACCCTATGAGGTGGACACTATTTTTATCCTGATTTTTCAAATGAAGAAAATAAAATAGAGAATGATTATCAAATCTCAGCAGTGTCACATAACCAGGAAGTGGTGGAGCCAGACGCTGAACTCAAACAATGTTGTTCTAGAACCTAGATTTTTATTTTAAGCTAAGTACTCGGTGTCTGTCTCCATGCTAGATACTCAACATAAACTATCTCAGTTACCATTATGGAGAATATAAGCCCCTTCTAGCAGATGAAGAAACCAAGACTCAAAATAAATTTTGGTTCTTGCCCAAGATTTCCCACTATTAAATAGCTGAGTTAGGATTTAAACTCAAGTCCAAATCCTGAGTTCTTCCCACACTACTGCTATGTCCACTTACAGCTCAGCTGTGGCTTGAGGTGCTGGACAGAGCATTAAATGTGGAACAGACCAAAGCCCCATGAAACAGTTTGGCCTGTAGGATTGTCTCAAGCTGAACAGGTTCATAAAGATGAGGGTTTGATACATTGATCTGCAAATGGTATAAGTCATCTTTGTTTTCTAGAAGAACTTCAATTTTAGGATGATGTTTGCTGTTATCCTGATGAATGGCTCTTGTCACCTCTAGTTCATTCACCAAATTTTTCAAGGCAAAGTTGAGCATGTGAAATACAACTTAGGCAGGGGGTAAAAAACCTCGTAGGGAATCATCCCAAGGAGTCTGCCTATAGTCCCCAACTTTTTCCTGAAACATTGACTTTGATTTCAATATACCAACTCCCAAAGTAGCTTTGCAAGAGTGAACTTCTAAGTGAATCTTAGGTGGTTTTGCATGGCATGACATATAATTATATGCTATTGCACTGATACAAAATGTGGCAAACTATACAGTGTGTTAGGTTCTTTAATCATAATATCTATTAACAAAATACACTTTCAAAATACCATATTAGCTTTCAGTAACTGTCTAACTTACGTGTGGACTAAGACTAATTCTGAAGTAGCTTCAGAATCCATTTATTAGTGGTGAAAACTGTTTACCATTTTAATGGTTTTGACCATGCTGTTCAGAACTTAAAAAAGGAGCCCTTTGGGAATGGCCTTGCAGCCCTGTGTGTTTATAGAAAACTAAGAAAGTATCTGAAAATTGAACACATTTGTCAAGAAGTGACCTTAGAAATCATGTCTGGGTAACAAGGTGTACTTCTGTCTCCTAAGAAGGTTTGCTTCATCAGCTCCTCTCTCTTTCGATCAAATCAGATGTATTGAAATTCAAGTGCCAAAAACCACTTCTAGTAAATGTAAGTACATCTCTTTCAAAGTAGCTGCTGATGGAATCTGAAGTGATTTGGTGGCAATCCACGTGCTGCAGCACAGGTGCAAACAGCTCAGCCTCAGAAGTGAGTAGTACACATCTCTGGGCTTTGAATTTCACATCAGAAAGGGTGCAGGGTACAGGGTCCTTTCTGGCTAGACAAAAAGGGCTGCCTCTGATCTTACATCTTGATCAATCTTATTTCAAGCACTGCTTGTTTTTGCTTCTTAGTCTGGCTTCTCTGTGTGTTTGGTGACCTCTTTAGATCTGCAGAGTGTAGGCAAATGCAGTGACATTATGCTTAAAAGATTAAAGCATCTGGACCATGGCTCACTGAGAAATTATCAGGGTGGGCAGAATGTGTCCATCTCAAAATGTTGATGCTTTCAGAAACTAAATCCATGCTAAGTAGCATGGACCATGCCTCACTCTATCACCACTACCTACGCAGAACATATTATTAATAAAATAATATGATCAGTTCCCACTTCTCACCCCTACCCCTACCTCCCAGAGTATGTCAAAGGTCATGCATCCATGAGAAAAGGCAAAGTAGAACATAGACACCAGGCAAAGGGACATGGTGCAGACACTGGTAATATAGCTCAGGCAAGGAGAAATAGTGCAAACATCAGGAATACAGTTCAGGGAAGAAGCGATGGTGCAAACATCAGCAATACAGCTCAGGCAAGGAGACATGGTGCAAACATTGAGGATGTGGCTTCAGAAGTGAAGAACAACCAAAAGGGAAAGCAGATAGCTTAAGGGTAAAGGAGATAAAAAGGACAGATACCTACCCAGACCTGCGCTATCTAGCTACCGGCCTGTGGACTTATATTATCACCACTGGGCTCCCCACTGGGCTCACCAAATGGATCACTGTTGGATGAGGCCTGTGATCCATCAGGCTAGAACACAAGAAGATAATACTTTTTTTTTTTCTTTTTTCAACCATTGAAAATATAAGACAACTGGATATACTTTCATGCAGCACAATCAGTTATTGTAAAGGAGGGTGCAATGGCATTTAGAGGATGCTACACCACAAATGTGGACTTGTAGTAACAATTTAATAAAAAGGCAGTCTTTTTCAGCTGACTCATTTGAACACAAAAGAAAGCCCCTTTAGCAACCCCTTGAGAACTTATGAGATTGAGCCAGCATTCTTTTCTATGTAGGCTTCCTCATGCATTATCCATTTCAGTTACAGAGGTCTTAATTTTAAGGAAAAACACAAATAACAAACTGGTCACTTACAGCTTCTTGCTCTTCGCTTTTGCTGGGGCTTTCAAAGCCCTCTTCAAAGATGTCATCTGTGGTAGGATCACTGGCATGGGATGCAGATGATTTGGATGGAGAGCTCTGTCTAGGAGCTGGGGTTGGAGCTACACAGACACCACAGAAAAAGAGACATCTTAAGTGCCTGGCTGCAATCAATTTATCCCAAAGAAACCTTAGGAATCTGCTTATATTCAAGTCAAATCTTAGGATTCCTCTTCTTATTTCCGGTGGAATCAGCTGAATATTTGAATTATTTCTCTGTACGTATTGATCTTTCCTCTCACACGTCTGACTTCAGGAAGGAGCTCGTCCACACTGATAGGTAAGGCAGTGGTTCTCAAAGGATGGTCCTTGGACGAGCAGCAACAGTAGCATCTGGGGATTTGTTAGAAATGAAATTCTCTGACCCTACCCCAAATCTACTGAATCAGAGACTCTGTGTTTGAACAACCTGCTAAAGGTTATTCTGATGCACGATCAAGCTGAGATCTACTGGGCTATGGTTTGCTTTCTTCTTTCTGTGTTTCATCAGAGGGCACTTACTGAGGGCCTTTCATGTGTCAAACACTGTTAGAAATTTTACAGACAATATCTCTAATCCTCATAAAACCTCTTTGAGGTAGAGGTTATCCTAATTTGACAGGTAAGGAAAGTGAAGGTTGCTAATTTGCTCGTGGCAACTGGTAGAACCAGATTCTGAATCCTGGCACATAGTAGGTATTCAATAAACACACGTTGAATAAACAGTAAGTGTCTCAGTGATCTGGGAAAATGGATGTAGCTGATGGCAACTTAACAGCTGGTACTTGATTCTCTAAGGACAAAGGATATGCATTTTCTGGACTGACCCACCCACATCTCCTCTCATTTGTTTCAGAGGTGTAGAACAAATACGTCATTTGATACCACTCTTCTTTTAATAATTTCTAATTTGTCACTGAAAATACCAGTCACTGGCTAAGACCCAAGTGAGTGGGTGGCACGCCTTGATTTAGTAGCTGAATTTTCATAATGTCATAGAACTTAGAATCAGACAGTGAATGATGATTGTAAAACTCTGTACATACTTTTTACTCTGATGACTGTATAGTTAGAAAAATGATGCTATTTCCTCATTTATTATTTATAATGTGCCAATGAGTTGGACACTGTGCTAGGCACTTCCCATCCATTATACACCCTAATACAAATACCTGCAAGCTGTTACTGTAACTTTTTTGTTTCCCAGATGGAGAAATTGCAGCTCAGAGAGGTGAGGTGACTTGACTTGCTGAGGGTTAACACAGCTATCAAATAGCAGCACTGGCATTTAACAGAGCTCTGTCTGACAGTATCCAGTCCAACTGTGCTTTTCTGTTTTTATTGGAGGTTCCCTTTTGATCCAACCAATCCTCTACCCAAAACATTCTTAAGGGGATACTGATGGGTCAGAGGAGATAATGACTGGTTTTTCCAATTTCATTCAAAATAAAACAGTAAGTTTTTGAAAAAAAAATTTGCAATGAAATCTGTGTTGTTTCAGGAGATAACTATGGAACAAACTATATTGAAAGTGGGTTTAAAGCTATATGCAAACACCCTGAAGGGTAGTAGATGTTTAATAAATATTAGTTTAATTAGATCCTGAATTGTATTTGAAGTGGATTTTTGCTTACGAAAGGTTGAGAACACACACTGAGTTGCCAGTTCTGGCAGGTATACTGCTCAGACTTACCTAATGAAATAAATGGAAAGCATAAACAGGAGTTTATTTACGTAGGTGTCTTAATTTTTAGAAGGCTTCATAGGATGCTTCTAATACTCTAAAGCAGTGGTTCTCAGTCTGGGGCAATTTCATCCCTAGGGTACATTTGGCAATGCTTGGAGTCATTTTTCTCGACACTAGAGGAAGGGGATATATGTTTCTCTCATAGAGTGATTAGAGGCCAGGGCTGCTAAACATCCTATAATGGGACAGCCTCTGAAACAAAGAATTATCTGGTCCAACATATCAATAGTGCCAAGGTTGCCAACAATGCTCTAAAACACAACAGTAGCTAAGTGATCTCCATTTAGTTTATTTCATTCTCTATAACCTTTCCCAAATGCCTCTCATGTGCCAGGCACTAAGCTAGCATTATGAGAAGTATAGGAGTAATGGAGACAGTTCCTGTCCTCAAAGAACTTAAACTCTCCTCTTTCATTTGTAGCTGGCACATAAGTCCATTGAAAGAGAGATGTCTGTTTTTAAAAAGATGCTTGCTTATTTATGCATGGCTGTCATTTCTTTAACATTTCGTTTTTTATTCATTATTCCTCATTGAAACCCTGTGAGTCTGTGTAAATAGAGATGCCGCCACTATGTAGATCATATGGCCTGAGTGCAAGTGGGTTGTTTATACACACCGAGGGCATTCATTTTCAGAATAGCATTCTGAACCTGGCTGAAATGACACAATCTAATTGTATTAACATTGTGGGGTTTTTTTGACAGTTCACAGTACTGGCCATGCAGTGATCCATATCACCTGTGACAGTAATGAAACCACCAAACTCACTGTAGCATGAACCTTTTCTTTCCTCTTATCAGGTGTCAAGGCACAGGCTGAGTCACCAGAACACCTTCCCTGAATTATGTCAAACAAGCGTACACATGCTCAAGTGTATCTGGATTCTGATTTGGCTGCACAGTCACTGTTTTCCAGATGTTTGCAGAAAAAATGTGGGCTGGAGGAGACTCACTGAAAGCTGGAACTAGAAGGATGCACACTGCTCATCCAAGTCAATTCACTTATTTTACCAATGATAAAACTGAGTCTCAGAGAAGTCACACGCTTGCCCAAAGACACAGCTTGTGGTAGAGGAGTCAACACTAGAACTGGGGTCCAGCACTGCACAAAACCACTTAACATGTGTTAATACTGAGGATAAAAGATACTTCAAATTCTGGGAGGTCTATAATGTTTGAGTATATATACCATTGAATCCTTTTAATAACCCATCCCTCATACAGATGAGGAAACCGAGGCTCATAGAAATAAAGTGCCTTGCCCAAAGGTACAAAACTGGTCAGTAATAAATCTGATCTCCAGGTTTCCAGTCCAGTACTTTCTGCAGCACCATCTTTTTGTTCTCTTTAACTACCAGAAGCTTTAAGCCAAAATGAGGCTTCAGCTATAAAAGCTATTTAAGACCTTACGGCTGCTGTATCTCTGCCCTAAGTTTTCTCTTGATCCTTATTTTATATTCTAATGTTTAAAACTTGTTCCCCAAATTTTTAAAGTTTGCATTCACTTTTATTTCAAGAAACCACACCAAAATCTATGTGTCATAAGCTGGCTATACACAAATAAATGAACGAATGCATGAGTAAACTAACAAAATCTTAAGAGGCAGAGTAATACGGTGGAAAAATACTAGGCATACATTCAGTTCAATACCACTTTGTCTATTGTCTTCAACCTTGAGCCTCACTTTCATTATCCATCAAACAGGTCTAACAAAATTTGTCATTAAGCATTATTATAAGTCTAAAAATAAACATGGAACATATGAAGAAGGTTTGTATGTTATCAGTGGTACCTAAATTTGTAGCTCTTAGTAGTAATAGTAGTAGTAATAGTAGCAATAGTAGTAATAGTAATATAAACAAAGAAGCCTGATTAATGCAAGCAAGATGAGTTATCTGACCCCTGAAACCCTACCTCCAGACATAAGTTATGGCTCTCATTGGGTTTTATGTCTTAAGTGAGGGGCACTCACGTGAGTTGGTCGATGGTGTGGTAGAAGTCACAGGGGTCAAATTCAACTGGGAGATGTCAAAGTCATCACAGTCGTCTGTATCCTGTGCCACCCCGACTTTGTTGAAGTAACTGGAGAAGGCCTCTGAGGTACAGGTGAGGGAGGGCTGGTCGGGTTTGCGGGAGGGCACGGGTGGAGGCTGGGCCATCTGGAAATCCTTAAACGTTTCTTTCCCCATTTTCTGCCTGGGCTTGTCGGTCTGTGGACTTGACCTGGTGGAGTCACTCGTGCCTGGGACGGTGGCAAGGGGGGTGAGGGGACCTTGGAACATGGCAGCTGGCAAAGGCATAACAGTTTGTGTGGGCATGAAGGCGGCTGGCGGAAACTGCCCGGCCACAGTTGGCCAGGGCTGCTGAGTGGCAGGGAAGAGACCCGGCTGGCCCCATGCGATGGGCTGAGCCCCCGGCATCACCTGAGCGACTGGTGGCTGGGCACCCATGACCATCTGCTGTTGGACGAGGGGCTGCTGGCCCCAGAAGGACGGGAGGACAGCGCCCATTGCAACGTAACCTGGGAGAATGAAAAAGAAGAGTCAGGTGTCCTGGGAAGGAAGGATGCATGGACTCAGGTAATTGACAGAAATGTATCAAGCACCAACTAAGTGCCAGACTGTGTGCCAGGGACTGGGGATGCCAAGATGAACAAGACAAAAGTCCTTGCTGTCATGGAGCCTATATCCTAGAGAAGTGGTCAGGGAAAGCCTCTCTGAGGAGATGATCTGTAAGCAAAAACTAGAATGCTAATAATCACATTTCTGTAGTTGTTAGAAGTTTCTAAAGTCTCATAGCCTCAGAAGCTGTGTGTCTCAGGGACAGGGCAGAAGGATGGAAGGCAGGCCGTCCTGGGTTTTCTCCTTGCCTCTTCCTGCTGCACTTAGGACCCTCTCAATTGCGTAAGCTCTTTAAGAGTCTGACTCTTTGTTGTAAAACCAGGTTATAATACCGTCCTTCGCAGGCCTGAGGCAGTGTGCAAAGTGAGTAAGAATCTGAATGTTGGAGTTTTAGAGACCTAGGTTAAAATTCAAACAGCCACCTCTTAACTGTGTAATCTGGGGAGTAGTTCTTAAATCTCTCTAAGGCTCTATGACCTTATTTGTAAAATGGGTATAAACACCTTCTACCTTGCTAGGTTGATTTGAAGATTAATTGAGAGTACATATTTAAAATGTGGAGTATTGTACCGGACACAGGATCAACATTCAGTAAATGTTAGTTACTAGTATGGTTTGGATTAGATAGAGGCTAGAGAGTTACTTATTACATTGCTTGATATACAAAATACATGTAATAAATGGCAGCTAGAGGTATTATGCATGATTTCTGTATTATTATTATTCCCATTTTAGAGAATTAAAATAATAGGGCCAGACGTGGTGGCTTATGCTTGTAATCCTAACACTTTGGGAGGTCCAGGTGGGAGGATTGCTTGAGGCTCACAGTTTGAGATCAGACTTAGTAACACAGCAAGGCCTCATCTCTACCAAAAATTTTTAAAAAGTAGTGAGGAATGGTGGCACATGCTCAGAGTCCCATTGTCTCAGCACTCAGGAGGCTGGGGCGGGAGGATCACTTGAGCCCAAAAGTTTGAAGCAGCACTGAGCTGTGATTATACCACTGCACTCCAGCTTGGGTAACAGAGTGAGACACTTGTCTCAAAAAAAAAAAAAAAAGAAGGTTATTGTCCACTCAGGGGCACCTCATACATCAGTATAAGTTACACACTGCAAAACCCCATAGCCTGTACTCATGTGTATTACCATGATAATTGTTCACTGTATTATTCTTTTTAGGTAAGACATATACATTTTAACAGGAGCACAAGTGACACTTGTTACAATAATAATAGTAACATAGCAGTAACAGCAACAAGCTCCACTTATTAAATGCCTACAACATGCCAGATACACTAGTATGTGTTTTGCGTCTTCACGAAATTCCGGCAGGGTAGGTATTATTATCTCTATTTTAGGGATGAAGAAATTGGCGCTCAAGGAAAAGCAACTTGCTCAGGGTCATACAGGTTGCATGAGGTAGGAGCAGGATCAAACTGAGGTTGTCTGTTCCCCCAAAGCCAGGGTTCCTTCCTTTGTGCCACACACTGCCTCACCCAGATGGCCAAGACCAATTTCCGATCTTTGCAGTTAATAGACCTTGCCTACTATTTGATTGCATTTGGATACTGCAGGCCTGCAGGAAATTCACATGTGCTTCCAGGGGTCCCCACCCTTCTCAGGGGGCACAATGGCCACCTCTATGTGCAGTTGAGCCTGAGAGACAAGTTCCCAGGCTGGGCAGAGCAGAGAATAGAGAAGCCAGCTTTGCCTGGGCCTCTCAAAACAAGCCTTTCCATGGCTGTCAGTAGGAAGATACCGATGCAGTGTAATGAGACCAGGAAAAAAAGAGGAATGGATGCAGAGTATCCTAGCAACTTCCAAAGGGACAATGGGTGGGCGTTATGGCATTGATGACATTATGAGTCATCTCACTGACTCTTGTGAGCCCAGAGAGATGGAACGCAGGGTGTCTCACTCCATACTCCAGTCACAGATATACCTGCCCTCAACTGACTGATACAGGCTAGAGCCAACATTCAAGGCCTGGTGATTTTCCTTGCAAGGTGCCCGTTTCCTCTCATGCCATGCTTCCCTAACAGGAGGCTCCAGAAAGGCACCAACAGGACACCTGTGCTTCTTGCTGATTAATCTCGCAGTGTTAAATACTTCTGCGGAATGAGACAAGGATGTCAACAAAAAAAATGGAGAATATCTTATAAGACTACTTGGTCCAACTGCACTGAAGCAAGAGGGATGAAGAGGCCCTGGAGCTGAAACTTCAAACGTGAAGCTTGCTTAGCTTGCCTCACCCATGGCATGATAAGGTAGTGACTTAAATCTACCAACAGATGAAGAATCCTGCAACTCTGTCTTGTTTTCCGATTTACTTTGATATGGCCCAGTGGTTCTCAGTGGGAGTACTACTGCCCCCTAGGGGTGGCTAGAAAATTGGTGGGACGTGTTTTGGTTGTCACAAGTGGAGGGGGTTACACTACTGGCATTTAGGAGACCCAAGCATTGACAGTAGACATCTCATTATGTATGAGACCAATGCGTATGACAAAGCATTATTCCACATCCTGTTTATGATCATTTGCACCCAGAATCGACTTTGAATTACACGGGAATTCAAAGTTATCTTTGCACTTGATTTTAATGCATTTAATTTTCCAGGAATTCAACAACTGTGCATGGGAGGGAAGGCTGTATTTTTGGTTTGGAACACTGTCAAAAGGTGTTGACTATTTTGGAAAATGGCAGTCCCTGACATCCCTGACAGAAACGCTTCTCATGGTGGTATAGCCACATGACACTTCTGTATCAGTCTGGACTTATAGCTGTGGCTTTCGATAGTGATTCTACTTATAGGTGTATACATCTGACTGTTATGCCTTCTAGTGTGCTCATGCCTGAGTATTTCCTTATTTAAATACATACATTTTTCTTACAAATTCTCTTTCCTTTCTGCCTTATATTAGAGAATTATATTCATTTTGAGAAATTGTGTAGCTAGACTACCTTATCTATGAAATTCATTTCAAGGTATGAAAGGAGGTATTGTAAATATTTGTAGTAAGAAGGGGGTGCTGGGTCTGCAGGTGGAGAAGTACCCACGGATTCAATCACCCAAGACCTGCTGCCCATTTTGGTGAATGAGGGGATGTTTTCACTCTCTTGACATCAAGCCTATTTTTGGCTTTGCTTTTATTCCACCCTCCTCGTTGCCAGGAACGACTGTTTTAAAATGCATATATGGTACTTCACTGTCTTTAGTATAAGGCTCACATGTCTTAGCTTGGCTATGCGTCCTTGGAGGTCAGCCCCTTCCACCTCTTCATCACTATCTTCAATTCATATCCTCACTGCACCTTGCCCTTCAGCAGTTGCAAACAAAACCCAACGTGCTGTCTCTTGTCTCTGCTGGCCCATCTGCCTGGAAAGCCATCCCGCTGCTTCTGTGCATGTCTAACCCTGATTTGCTCTTGGAGACTCGGCTCACTATCACCTCTGCTGGATGGCTTTTTGCTCCTGTCAGCTCCACTGGTCCTTCTCTGGGCTTGCACAGTCCTCTGTGCTCACCTGTATCATGACATTTGTCACACTGCATTGTAATTGCCTGGTTATTCTATCTTCCCTGATGAGACTAGAAACCACCTGTTGGCAGGAACTCTTTATTCTCTCTGTCTCTCCACTCTGCCTAGCATGGTTTGGGACGGGAGAAAGGCCCTACATAAAGATGAACAAGTCCTAGTCAATACGTTCACTGCATTTTTCCCGGTGTATAATTAAACCCACAATGCATAAATGCTGTGATCTCTGATGATTCTACTGTTGGTGGCAGGTTTTTTCCCCTCCCATCTTTTGTTTTTTTTTCCACAAGGAGCTAACAGATGGGCTGTGCACACTTTTCTGGAGAGAGCTATTAGCATGTCTCTCTGGCTTCATGCCATCTGCTCCAGACCAAAGTACAATATTCAAAAGAAAAAAAGGTAGCACAGGGTAATTGGGTATCATGCTTAGGAGCTTGCAGGTCCCACTCACTTTTCCTAGGGGGTCCCTGCAGCCCGGCTCTCCTTGGCCTGTGAGTTAAGGCTGTCTGGCCACATGATCTTGTGCATGAGTGAAGGGACACACCAGCAGCAGGACAGTGGTGGCACTAGACACAGGGAGCCACGTGGGGGTTGCCACTGCAGCCACTTAACAGCTTGTTAACTGTTTACTATTAATGTCCAGTAGTGGAGGGAGGAGGTGCCAAGGAGCATCTGTTTATGCCATGAAGTTCAGAGCAATCATAAATCTTGCTGTGGAGTGAAAGGGAACACCTGCCTTGCTGCCTTACAGTTCGGTTTTTAAAAAGTGTTGAAAATTGTGATTTATAGCCAGATGCTGACACCTGGGGATACCCCCATTATTTGAAAAAAGAAAAAAAAAGGCAGACTGAAATATAAGAAAAGCACTAAAAATGAAGGAACTCCTCCAACATTTATGCAGAACTTGTATGATATCTCTTATCCACAGTATCTCACTTGATAGATTCATTCATTCAAAACTACCTCTACTAGGTGCCAATCACTGTTTTAGTATGTGGAGACAAAACAAAGAACAAAACAGTCATCAAAAAAACCCAAAAACATTCTCACCCTGTGGAGCTGACATTTTTGTGAAGTTGATCCTTTCCACAAGCCTCTGGGGTGAGTGTGATTGCTATCTCTTTAATTTGTAGAGGAGAAATTGCAACTCCATGAGGGGAAGATTTGATGCAGCTACACACTGTATGAATAGCAGATCCAAGGCTCCCGAAGAACCATGTAGCAAACATCTGTTGAGTGCTTACTGATGGAAGCACTGCCAGGAACTGCTGTACATATTTTACAACCTGCATTTACTCATGCAATCCTTAGAAAAACTCTATGAGGTAGAATTATGATCATCCACATTAAAATGGGTAAGTTTCCTGAGGTTCAGAAGATATTTATCTGAGTATGATGCAGTTGGCTAGCGGCAGAGCCAGTATTCATACATAGTACATTCTCCAGGCCACCCATTCTCCTGCTGTCTGCTATGAGCAGTCAAGAGGTTGAAGACCTAAACTTTATTACGGGCACTAATTTCCAGGAAAAGGAAAAAATATAGGTAGAACAGGACATATATTCATCTACTGTAGAAATCACAATAATCATAATGATACAGTATATTCTACACTAAATATCGATGATGTGCCAGCAGTTTTCAGTGTGTAGTGATACAGCTTCTGCAGCTGCAGTTAATGTAGTGATTCATTTAATTCTCATGATACTGTTGCAAAGTAAGTATTATTTTACACTCAGTTATAAAGATGAAGAAACACTGACTCTGGTAGGTGAAGTAATTTGCCCAGGAGTCTAAAGCTTAGAAATAAATGGTTGAATCAGGATTCAAACCTGGCCCATCAGATTCAAAAGCCCCCAGGAGCCAGTCTATCCATTGTATCACATACTCCAGTTCACTTCTCTATCTCCTTATCACTGGCTGGACAACTAGTGACAAGGAGATTGGGATTCAACAGCTGCAGAAATTTTTATATCCAGTTAAGGGAGAAATCGGGCACATAGTTTAACACCAACTGAAGCCAGTTTTGTTATATTAACTAGAGTCAGAAAGCAAAAACATGCAAATTGAAATTAATTTTAGACTCGTGTTCTAAAAGTTGAAATCTTGGAGGTAATCTATCAAAATTTTAACAGCTAAAGAAAGGAAATCTGGATATGTGGAAGTGGCTTGTCCACAGCTTCCAATGTGGCTGGTTAAGCAGCAAGACTAAAACCCAGGTCTTCCAACTCCGTAATCTGGTACAGGTTTGGGAGAGGGCCCAGAGCAGTGCTGTGACTGACCCGGTGATATGGTTTGGCTGTGTCCCCACCCAAATCTCACCTTGAATTGTAATAATCCCCATGCGTCTCCCCTAGGTGGAGATAAATGAATCATGGGGGGTGGTTTTCCCCACACTGTTCTCATGGTAGTGAATAAGTCTCATGAGATCTGATGGTTTTATAAAGGGGAGTTCCCCTGAACACAATCCCTCTTGTCTGCCACCATGTAAGACATTCCTTTGCTCCTCCGTTGTCTTCCACCATGATTGTGAGGCCTCCCCAGCCATGTGGAATGGTGAGTCCATTAAAACTCTTTCCTTTGTAAACTACCCAGTGTCAGGTATGTCTTTATCAGCAGCGTGAGAATGGACTAATACACCCAGGCAGGTCCTCAGGGTGTTTTTAATCAAATGTTAGGGCTGGAAGAGATATAAAATTACATCTAGGCCCATCTTCTCATTTATAGAGAAGGGAATGGAGACTTGGGGGACCAAGTCATTCCTCTGCCTGGAGTACCCTGAACTCTGATGTCTACTTGAGACTTTTCTGCCCCTGCTAGTCCTGTCACACTTCACCTAGGCAAAAGCGCCTTGTGACCACAGGGGCTCCACTTTTACCTGCCCTCTGCCTGCACTCAAAAGCCCCTATGCTCTGGTCTGCATTTTCTTTTGTCCCTATCACTTCTCATTTTTAAATATATTATTGAAAATTATATTTTTTTTGTTATTTCCTGTCTTCCCAGTAAAAGGTAGACTCTCTGTCTGTTGTGTTGACTCGCACATCCCAAGCACCTACATGGGACCTGGCACATAGAGGGCACCTGGTGAGTATTTTTGAAATGAACATGCCTGCAAATTGGTAAGTTTGGGGCCATCATTTTTCCCAGCACAGTCTTTACAGACAAAACAATGAGGACAAAGCATGGGCACTCTGAACACAAAAGTCAAGCATAGAAGGGTGGTGGAAAACTCTTACCCTTATTTAAAATGGCATGTGCTATTATACTAGTCCCATGAATATTTTAATATCTATTTTAGGTAAGGAAAACTAGTCTTCATTACTATCCCTTTTTCAAGATTAGACTGGGAAACTTCACAATCGAATACATTTCTAGGCAACCTGCAGTCTAAACTGTAAGTTAGATCCAAGGGTTACCAACCTCTATTACTTCTAAAAGTTCATAATGATCCCTTAGCTCATGAGTAATAACCATAACTATTTTAGAACAGAGTATGCATTTTTAATTTACTTTGAATAAAAGCACAGTTTATATTTGGTGGCAAGAATTTGCTTCTAACAGTATGTAATTAAAAGTAATTATGGAAAAAAATGCAAGAAGATTGGTATTCTAAAATATTCAAACAACTCTATTTGTCATTTATAAGAATAAAGGCAAGAAAGATAAAGCCACAGATTTCAAATACATAGTTAAAGAAAACCACAAAACCCTTTAAGGCTCCCATGTATGTGAAAAACAGAACTAAACTACCTTTGGCTATTTGCAAATACAGTGGCCTGGCCACATGGAATGCCTCATGCCATGGAAATAAGGTAAGATTGCTGGGCTCCATCCATTTGTAACTCACCTGCAATACTGCTACTATATCTATCTATATTTTTTAACTTGTTGTAAAAGTAGTAAATACATTTAAAGACTATTTGAAAAACAGAACACATACTTTCTAACTCACCAGGTGTCTCATTATTCTCACAACTCACAGCAGTTTGCTCTCATCCCATAGGGTGCTCCCCACTTTGTCTGGGGACCTTCCCCTTCCTTGAGTCAGCACCAAGTAAGGCAGATCCCTTCTATCCATCAGGTCTCAAGAAGTCTCTAGAAAGCTGACTTCATGTCCTCCCCTGCTTATTGCTGTCTCTCCTGGCTGAGGTGGAAGAGTGGAAATGGACCTGGGCTAATTGCACAGCTGTGCGTATGCCATGCTCCGAAAAGCTGCACACCTGAGTAACATAGAATCTTGAACTCTCTGGGTGAAAGACATCAGTGAATTCAAGGCAAGTAACATCCCAGAGCTCTGGACCCCAACATCATCTCCCTCTCTAAACAGCTTCTCAGTGTCACCTGAAGAGTCACAGGAGAGAATAGCAGTGTTTTGTCATCATTTGGCGGCTGGCTCTGTAAACTCTTTCTCTCTCGATGGGTGAAGGCCAAAGGAAGGGAAGCTGGTAGAAGAGGGCTTACCTGAGGGTACAGCAGCAGTGCTGAAAGGTACAGAACCAAACACATCTGCACTCGCTGGAAGGGTCTGAGATGAAGATGGGATAAAGGCATCACCTGGAGTTGCAGGAGTCTGCCAGACAGAGAGAGGCAGAGGACACATGAGACCTGGCTTAGCAGTCACCAAGGCTGGGAGGTAGCAGATGCAGGAATTAAGGGGCAGGGGAAGGGATCCACAGTTCAAGCCACTTATGTGGTGTGCAGCCCATGTGCTGGTTACATACACTTTATCTACAAAATGGGAAATGACACCTCCAGAGCTACTGTGAGGATTAAGTGAGATTATGTGTTTAAATTATTTTACATCACTTAAATTTTTAGCGCCACGCATAGGCATATAGTAGGTGCTTGGCAAATAACGGCCAGTATCCTAATGATTTAGTTTGAGCCCCTACTCTCTAGGGGGTGTTTTCAGGTATCAAATTTTCCATAATATTTGGCATTCACCCTTTAGAGATGGCCAGTTCAAATTGAAATACACCCACTCAAGACCTACTGTGTGCCCAGCTCAGGGGCTGCAACTTAATACACGGCCAATGAGCAGTTGTTGACTAAATCAACAAATAGAGTTTAGCAAGTAGAGCACCGACCCTTGTATCCTGGTGCACCCCCTCAACTCCAGATTTTCTCTCAATCTTCATTTGCAAAAAGAAGTAAATATTTTCAAGAAGACAACAAGAAACAATGCTTGCACCACTGAAAATTCTACAGGGCCTAGTCCGTGCTGGAATTCAAAAAAGGTCTGCTGCATGGACTGGTGGGCAAGATGGGGGATACAGAAATGAAAACATCAGTACTCATAATTTTGTATATGTCCACACCCATTTATAGCAGGCTTTTGCCTACAGAGTATAAATCTGTTTGATGCTGTAATATCCTTTTTTTCTTTCCCCTTGGAATAGGCTGGGGCAAGCAATTAATCCTGAAATCATGGCAATTAGACAAGGCCATTTTTAGACTAGCAGCTTGTGGGACGAATGGCATTGTTCTGAGGATTATTAAATACCCATTTGGACTGCGCCTGGGTTCAGGGCCAGAAACACAGCCATGAGCTGCTGTGTTAAGCACTTTTAAAAACAGTCAGCGCCGTTCTTTTGTTCCCCCTTTGTGACCTTGGGTGAGTCACATGTCCTTTCTGGGACTCAGTTTGCTCATCTGTAAAATGAAGGGGATAAGGTTAGAAGATCTCTTCAGCCCTTTCTAGCTGCATAGCCCTGCAGTTCTGCAACTCCAAGTTCCCAGAAAGAAGCTTTTAGCCCAGGATAAAGGGAAGAATGAGAATTGCTAGAGCCATCCAGCTTCTTTGGGGACAGAGGCTGCGGTCCCCGCCCTCAAGGCTGCCTTGGACATCAGGTGTTGGCAGCAGGGCAGCTGTGCCTAGATTCCCAGGCGGCAGCAGTGGGCAGCAGTGTCTTGTGCCATCTGTCCTTGGTGGTGAGGTTACAGCCTTTTCTCTGTGAGGCGCATCTTGCCAATGAACCATAGCACCATCCCTCGGTTTGCACAACTGCGCAGTGCCCAGAGGAGCTGTCCCCTCCCGGCAGCTTCAGCTGGTGCAGCTGCGGCTGACTGCTCTCTGCCCTCCTCAGGGAATGGGCAGGGGAGGGGCTGGAGGGGCCATCTCGGCTCTTTTCTTTGCAGTGGCTGCAGAGTTGCTTTTGAATGCATCTAGCACTGGGATTCTATTTTGCTTTGGTTTTAATTCTGTTTTCTTCTTTTCATTTTCAAATTAGGGCTCCCTGCAATTGCTGTCCTTTTGTAAGCATTGACTGAGGTACCCTGGCTGAAGCTGTGGCTGGGAGTCTACAGCTTCCTGAGAAGCTCAGTGAGGCCCAAGTGCCCAGGTCATGGTCTGCAAAGCTGAAGGGCAGGCTGGAAGGGAGGGAAAAAACAAAAAGAAGGGAGAGAGGAAAGAAAGAGGGAAAGGAGAGAAGGATGGGCAGAGCAGGGTGTGGGGAGAAGGTCCTTCCTTTACTGGGCTGGCCACCTACGCTGTACTGGGCTTGGGGCAGGTGCTGACAAATGCCTCATCATATGTGTTGTCCCAAGTTTCCTGCCTACATTCCCAACCACACCATGTGCTCCTTGTAGTCAGAAACCACATCTCCTTTGGGCCTCTCTTCTCAGACCCCAGCAGAACAGCAAGTGCCCAGGCAAGTCCTGTCATTGCTGAATGCATGGTCTTGTTTATTTCGCAAAACAGAGGCATATATCATAGTTTCCCTTTTTAAATAGCCAAGGAAATTAAGGATCAGAATGACTAGTTAGTTTGTCCAAGTCACACAGCTTGAAAGAGTCAACGCTGAAATCCACCAGAGGCCTCTTTCACTCAAAGCCCATATTCCGGCCACTGAGGGGATGTGGAAAGAAAGGAAAGGGGTGCAGGGTTCAGAGAGCAATGCATACTTACGGGGGGAGAGGTTATATCAGGGGGTGTGGACATGTCCCCAAAAAGTTCTAATTGGGTCACAGCCTGTAAAGACAAAAAGGTAATCATGTAACTACAAAGAAAGGTGGTGGTGCTGGGTCCTGCTTTACACACAGTATGATATGGGGATACACATTTCTGTTTTTCATCATTTCTAGATAAACCATAATCCTGATGGGTCATTACCATACCTCAGGATCCCAAAGGCAACATTGAATGCAGCCAGAATCAATTCTTGCTTCCTTGCATCTGCCTATTTATCCAGCCTTGGTCAAGACTGCCCATTAATCACTTCCCATAAGCAGTAATAACATCACTTCACACTTATTTACCATCATATGCCAGCACTGTCTCTCTTCCTAGGAGATAAAGGCAGGGAGGCAATCCCATCACTGGTTTTTATCTCATGAGTGTATCCACACATACAAGATGCCTTCCACGTGTAAGTACAGACATGACTTCATGGTCACGTCAGTAAGGGCTCCCAATAGCATTCACCCTGAGAGGTAGGAATCGTCATCCCCATTTTTACAAATAGATAAACTAAGTCTCAGGGATGTGATATCAAGGTCATCCAGGCCAGGATTTAAATTTGCTGAATACAGAGAATGCAGTCAAACAGTACTCTCTGAAAGAGTCCATCTTTAGGATAAAAAATGTGGTTGGAGGAAAAGAAAACATTTCATTTAATACCAGGAAAGGCATCAAAAACAACCCGGTGTATACATCATTGATCACTCCTAGGAACTCCATCACTGCAGACACTGCATCATCTATCTCCTCATCCATCACACGGGAGTATCTGAGCAAGGCCAGCCACAACAGCTAAAGAAACCCTTTAAGATACACTTAGAACTAATCTGCACACACTGCCAAATTCACAGACTGTAGGGAGTCTATGGCCTGACTTAATTATGACAAGTATGTAATCACATGCTTTGTACAAACCTGTCCACTAAGGAAAAAGCACTTTTCCCTCATCTTCAGATCTTAAGTGATAGCTTCAAATTGGGGGAACCTAAACATACCACTTAGTAGAAGGGATGTGAAGAGTCCAACTGCCCTGCCACACAGGACTCCTGTACTCAAACTGCTCTAACCTGGTCATGGCTGGATCTCTAGGGTTCATCCAAGGAAGGGAATGTTCTTTCCTACTGGCAAGTGAGTGAGCTTTGGGCTCTGGAAAATGTCCTACACTCCATGCCTGGGGGTGTGGAGTACTGATAAGATAAACCACATGAGAAAGGGGCCCCAGGTCAGGCAGGGCCCAGATGGGTAAGAACAAGGAATAATTGTTCTGAGGGATGGTTAATCACAAACAACCCAAGGGCACAACCTCATTTTCAGGTAGCCCCTCCAGCATAACCCTATAAAACTTCCCTCCAGCCCCTGCCTCTTTGCAGACAGCCCCTTCTCTGCTGTGCTGCCCATTGCAATCTTGCAATGTATTTTCATACTTTCTCTAATAAATCTACCTTTCTTTACCTACAAATGTCTTCATAAATTCCTTTACTGCCTGGACCACTGGCCCCAGATAGTAGCTACCTCCAACAGGAGGCATATTTGGATTCTACCACTTTCAATATCTGCAACTCCTCAGAGCTACAGTTCCTTCATCTGGGCAATGGAGATGATAATATCACCTTTGCAGATGTATTGACAACATTAATAGGAGGACTTTCTTTGATGTTTGGTTAAGCCTGGTTAAAAGAGCACAAAAGTCTCTTTTTGCTGAAAGGAGAGAAACTTGGCCTTGTTAACTTACTTGCAGCTCTTCCTTCCCTTTCAGCTTTCAGATTGAATAACAGCACCTGGCACACAATAGGGCCCTATAAGGACTGATTTTGTTTCCAACTGCACAATAATTTTTGATAAATCTTTAACAACTGCTAGATGTTGAACACTGTGCTATGTGCTGGGAACATAAAAATGAGAAATGCCAACTCTCAGCCTGCAGGGAGTTTACAGACTGGAGGGGAGGACATCCAATCTGTAGATGCAGATAATCTCAGGTAATGCAGCAGAAATAGCAACAGGGGTCTCTATGGTGTGCTGTGGGATTACCTAGAAGGAAATTGTTCTGGTTTGGCTGTGGCCCCACCCAAATCTCAACTTGAATTGTATCTCCCAGAATTCCCATGTGTTGTGGGAGGGACCCAAGGGGAGGTAATTGAATCATGGGGGCTGGTCTTTCCCATTCTGTTCTCACGATAGTGAATAAGTCTCACGAGATCTGATGGGTTTATCAGGGGTTTCCAATTTTGCTTCTTCCTCATTTTCCCTTGCTGCTGCCATGTAAGATGTGCCTTTTGCCTTCCGCCATGATTCTGAGGCCTCCCCAGCCATGTGGAGCTGTGAGTCCAATTAAACCTGTTTTTCTTCCCAGTCTCAGGTATGTCTTTATCAGCAGCATGAAAATGGACTAATACAGTAAAATTGTTACCAGTAGAGTGAGGTGTTGCTGAAAAGATACCCAGAAGTGTGGAAGTGACTTTGGAACTGGGTAACAGGCAGAGGCTGGAACAATATGAAGGGCTCAGAAGAAGACAGGAAAATGTGAGAAAGTTTGGAACTTCCTAGAGACTTGTCGAATGCCTTTGCCCAAAATGCTGATAGCGATATGGACAAGAAAATTCAGGCCAAGGTGGTCTCAGATAGAGATGAGGAACTTGTTGGGAACCGGAGCAAGGTGACTCTTGTTATGTTTTAGCAAAGAGACTGGTGGCATGTTGCCCCTGTCCTAGAGACTTGTGGAACTTTGAACTTGAGAGAGATAATTTAGAGTATCTGGCGGAAGAAATTTCCAAGCAGCAAAGCATTCAATAGGTAACTTGAGTGCTGTTAAAGGCATTCAGTTTTCTAAGGGAAGCAGAGCATAAAAGTTTGAAAAATTTGCAGCCTATGTGATAGAAGAAAAACCCATTTTCTGGGGAGAAATTCAAGCCAGCTGCAGAAATTTGCATAAGTAGCAAGGAACCTAATGTTAATTCCGACAATCATGGGGAAAATGTCTCCAGGCTATGTCAGAGACCTTCATGGCAGCCCCTCCCAACACAGGCCTGGAGGCCCAGGAGGAAAAAGTGGTTTTGTGGGCTGGGCCCAGGGTCCCTGTGCTATGTACAGTCTAGGGACTTGGTGCCCTGTGTCCCAGCCACTCTAGCTATGGCTGAAAGGGATCAATGTACAGCTCAGGCTGTGGCATCTGATGGTAGAAGCCCCAAGTCTTGGCAGCTTCCACATGGTGTTGAGTCTACAGGTGCACAGAAGTCAAGAATTGAAGTTTGGAAACTTCCACCTAGATCTCAGATGATGTATGGAAATGCCTGGATGGCCAGACAGAAGATTGCTGCAAGGGCAGGGCCCTCAGGAAAACCCCTGCTAGGGCAGTGTGGCAGGGAAATGTGCCGTCAGAGCCTCCACACGGAGTCCTACTGGGACTCTGCTTAGTGGAGCTGTGAGAAGAGGGCCACTGTCCTCCAGACCCAAGAATGGTAAATCCACTGATAGCTTATACCATGAGCCCAGAAAAGCCTCAGACACTCAACACCTGCCCATGAAAAAGCAGCTGGGAGGGAGGCTGTACCTTGCAAAGCCACAGGGGCGGGGCTGCTGAAGACCATAGGAACCCACCTCTTGCATCAGTGTGACCTGGATGTGAGACCTGGAGTCAAACAAGATCATTTTGGAGCTTTAAAATTTGACTGCCTTGCTGGATTTCAGACTTGCATGGGCCCTGTAAACCCTTTGTTTTGACCAATTTCTCCCATTTGGAATGGCTGTAATTACTCAATACCTGTACCTCCTTGTATCTAGGAAGTAACTAGCTTGCTTTTGATTTTACAGGTTCATAGGCAGAAGGGACTTGTCTTGTCTCAGATGAGACTTTGGACTGTGGACTTTTGGGTTAATGCTGAAATGAGTTAAGACTTTGAGGGACTGTTGGGAAGGCATGATTGGTTTTGAAATGTGAGGACATGAGATTTGGAGGGGCCAGGGGTGGAATGGTATGGTTTGACTGTGTCCTTACCCAAATCTCAACTTGAATTGTATCTTCCAGAATTCCCACATGCTGTGGGAGGGACCCGGGGGAGTTAATTGAATCATGGGGGCTGGTCTTTCCCATGCTATTCTCATGATAGTGAATAAGTCTCATAAGATCGGATGGGTTTATCAGTGGTTTCTGTTTTGCATCTTCCTCATTTTCTCTTGCTGCCACCATGTAAGAAGTGCCCTTTGCCTTCCGCCTCTCCCCAGACATGTGGAACTGGGAGTCCAATTAAACCTCTTTTTCTTCCCGGTCTTGGGCATGCCTTTATCAGCAGCATGGAAACAGAGTAATATAGAGACCCAACCAGCTTTTGGCAAAGTTTGAGACGGTTTTCTAAAGGAAATAGCCTGGATCTGAATCCTGAAGGAGAGGAGCCATGTGACCAAAAAGAGGAGACCATCCAGACAGAGGCAACTGCTTAAAAATGGCCAGAGGCCAGGAACAGAGTAGGTAGGTGGTAATGGAAGCAGTTCAGTGTTACCAACATGAAGGTGGGAGACAGGAGGCCAGTGTGGTGGTCAGGGGCAAGGTTGTGGTGGGAATTTCATACATTTCACAGCCTTTTCCATCAATTCTTGCCTATCTTGTTTCTCTTTCATACAGTAACAGCCCAGCAGCTGAGGGGAATGAGGTGGACAGCACACAGGTCCTTTCTCAAATCTTGCTGGACTTGAAATGCTCTTCTTTGGTAATCCTTCTCTAGCATGTTAGCAATATTTTATATTATTTGGTTAAACTCTGCTAGTCTTTTAGACCCTCTTCCAATTTCATAAAAGGAATAACTTTATTTAATCAATTCAAATTAAGCTTCTGGGCTTCTTTGAGACTGCAATTCTATGCTTTTAAAATGGCCCACAACTATTTTCAGTGTTCGGAAAATATTTAAATGAAGTTATTAATTAAGTCACACGATTTACATTTCAAATGTGTTGAACTCACGGCATACTTTTACTAACATCATAAATAGAATTTATTGGCTAATTTTCTCCTTAAGCACAACTTTTAAAATAACCTTCATTCTTGAGATATAGACTTTCCTTTTGCCAGATGATTTTCACTCAAGGATTAAACGAGAAAAACATGCAGAGGCATAAAACATAGATTGTTATTTCATTCCATTGGTTTGCTGTTTAAATAGAACCTTGAGTTAATTAAATTTTATAGAAAAAGGGGATTCTTGGGCCATAAAATTAAAAATAATCCTAATAACCATATGTGATCGAGAATCTGAAATAGTATCTATTTTCACAGGCCTCCTCCCCATGTTAACCCCAGTCCTTTTATTTGTAAGCTAATAAACCATGTTCTATCTGATAATACTGCTCTAATGAATCATTTTAAAAGCCTCAAGAGAATAAAACTAACAATTCACATTTATAAAACACTTTATAGTTTGCAATATGCTTTCAAATACATTATCATCATGTTTGACACTCACTGAGCCCCGAAAAGTCACCAGCATAGGTGCCATTATCACTATGTTTCACAGATGAGCTAGCTGAGGCTGAGGTTAAGTGACTCACCTCTGATCAGTCAGCTAAAAGCAGCTGGGATGGACTTGACCCACACACCCACCAGCATCTTGTTCATCGATCCATCACTTTACCAAACCTTAGTTAGCTTTGCTAAATAGTGGAAGTCCAGCTCTACAACATTCTCTAACCAGAAATCTGGGTTGCTATAAGGTCTGCCAGGATGCACATCCATTTGAGGTCATTTGGAATGTCAGCTTGAGATGTCTACTCGCCAGAGAGTAAGGCCCTTCCATTACTAGCATTTCAAATGTCTCCTGGTAAAGAGAGATGTAGCTGGAGATGGCAGTTTTTCCCCTTTTTTAGCCCCCTGGGCATTTTCCAGGGGTAAGAAGAGTGATATTGTAAGGTGTACAGGACAGTGAAGGAAAAGTAGCTTCGATGTTTGGGGAGGTAGTTCCCCAGTATCTCCATCAGGCCTGTTCTCTCCCCAGTCATTCTTTGATATGAACAAGTGATGGTTTTTCAGTAATATCTAGTTTAAGATTAGTACGCTGCTCCTTCCAACTAGATCACTGCAACAAGATCCCTAGGCCTTTCCGAGAGAGAAATCCTAAAGGCACAATTGATGGAGGCTGAGATGTTATGGCTGACCCCGAAAACACCTTCTCACAGACCCATTCCCTGTGTTTTGGCATCAGGAGTTCTGTGACCCTTCAGTGGGCAGACATGGGAGTTCCTACCATGCATCAGCTACCAAGAGCAAGGGCTACAGAGATAGGTAAGGCACATTCCTGTTCCTATTGTCATAAGCTGGCTGTATTATGAAAAGACAGACCCAGAGACACAATCAAGGAGGAGAGAAGCACAGAGAGTTATGAAAGAAGAGGCCATCTCAGGGTCTTACATGTGCTCTTCCTCCTACCTAGAACACTCATTCCTTCTCCCACACATTCTTCAGGACGTGAATTAGAAGGCTTTCTGTTTTGTTTCCTATGAAGTGGCGTCCTAACTCAATTTCTACCCTATCCCATTGCCCATGATACTCCCAGATCAGTGGTTCTCAACCTTGGATGCACACTAAGATCACCTGGGGAAAAATTACTGATGCCTGGTTCCCACACCAAAAGATTCAGAATTGGTTTGAGGTAAAACCTAGTCACTGGAGCTTGGAAAGCTCTCCTAATGATTCTAATTTGCTGCCAAGGTTGAAGATTTTTGTCCTGAAGGTTTCCCAATACTGTATTCAGGAGTGGCAATATTCATTGGCCTGTGTATCAATCAATTTGAACAGATGTTGACTACAACCAATATATTTATACCAGGTTATACTGACTGAATAGCAACCTCACCTGTTTTTTAGTACCAGTGGTGTACTTGGCACATCCTGTTCATGTATCTGAATTCCTACTATATCATGTTATACTACATATACTACACTACGCTAGGCGAGGCTCTACTGTCATAGCTTATCCCATGCAATGTTGCACTATGTTACACTGTGAGCTTCTTTAGGAAAGCCACTTTTCTGCATCTCTAGCATCTATTAGGATGCCTGGGACATGTTAGAGGTTTGAAAAGTATTGCTGGATGAAAAGAAGGGGTGCTATCTCCTCTCCAACACACACTCTAGTTTACACACATACACACACACACCTGTACATACACTCTCACTATTTGACCTCATGGCAGGGCCCACCAACAGTCATCCTGGGGACATTTGAATAGGTACCTACTAGAGCAGAGCAGGGCAGCAAGTCTGCCATTCATGCCAGCTGGATGAAGAGAATATGGAATGCATGAGTATGAGCAGAACAACCTCATTTAACAAAAACCTCAAGGCCTTACCTTTGTTGCCTCAAAAATCTCATCAAAGTCCGTGGGCAGGTTTCTGTTCTGTAACCACAAGGCACGACTGATGAGCATGAAATGAATGTGGAGATCATGACATGAAACAGTTAACTTGAGAGGGCTCTAATTCTTACCGGGGTGGCTGCAGCAAACCGTTCTTCAAAATCCTCAAATGAATAGCCGTTCTGAAAGTGGAAGGGATGATGAATGAGGATGAAGTGAATGACACACAAATGACATGGATTTATGAGTTTAATGATGACAGTATCTATGATTCACACTTCCATGGTCTCAGCAGGTGGGGAGCTGTTTCCAATGTCTGTGAAAATCCTGGAATATGTTTCTAGCATAAGCAGATGATAAAACATGGGTCTGATTAGGAAACACAGCAATGGCAAATTTGTAAGTTTAAATTCCATCTTCCTGCAATTACAGACATTGCCCTGCAGTTACAGACATCAGCAGTGGCTATGGATAAGAGCATGCTGTTTACATTCGAGATTTTTCTTTTAAAAGAACAAAATGTCACCTTGTGCTTTAGACAAACTTTACTCTTTGGAGCAGTCTGTGAACAGCTGGTTTTCATGTGTTTGTATACATGCTGTCTTCTCTGCATGAAATGCACTTCCCTTCGGCCGGGCGCGGTGGCTCACGCCTATAATCCCAGCACTTTGGGAGGCCAAGGCAGGTGGATCATGAGGGCAGGAGATCGAGACCAGCCTGGCCAACATAGTGAAACCCTGTCTCTACTAAAACTACAAAAAATTAGCTGGGTGTGGTGGCGGGTGCCTGTAATCCCAGCTACTTGGGAGGATGAGGCAGGAGAATCACTTGAATCCAGGAGGTGGAGACTGCAGTAAGCCAAGATCGTGCCACTGCACTCCAGCCTGGGAGACAGAGCGGACTCCATCTCAAAAAACGCTCTTCTCATCTCTGAAAGCTCAGTGCTCCCCAAATTCTCCAAACCCAGCTCAAAAGCCACCTCCTCCATGAAGAGTTTCTCTATCCTTTGAACTGAAATCCTCCTGAGTGTCCTCTGTACATTATCTGTGCCTATCATACTGTAAGCTTCCTCAAGCAGCTGGTAGAGGGTCTCCCCCTGCAGCTGGTAGAGGGTCTGGCACATAGCAGTCCTCAAAAATACAGAAATGAATGCATGTTCTAGAAGTAGCTGGCAGTGAGCAACATTTAATTGCTTTGTTAACTTTGTATTATATTGTTTATATTACACATTATAGGTATGTATAATATATCATATACATGTATATCTTAATGGCCATATTCTGGTCTATACGAATAAGTTAATTATTCTTTGGATGATTTCCAAATAGTAAAAACATTAATATAAATCTGCTAATATGGACATTAAAATGGAGTTATTACGCATGAATAGTTTTGAGGAGAGCTTTTGGCAATGGAAGAGTGAGAAAACTATCACCCATAGCCTCATAATACTGTGCTTTGTCAGAATTTGCTTTCACCCTGTCTATAGGACATGTGACTGTTGCTTCCTTCAGCCCCAGTTACAGTCTGCAGAGCAGAGCAGAGTGGAAGAATCAACGTGCCCGGGCCCACTAAGGCAGGGCCTTCAGGTCAACCACCAACCACCTGTTTCCACCAGCCCATGGTTCAACATGACTTAACTATGGCTACAATGAGAGGAAAAGCCACCACATCAAATAACCACAGACATTATTATTATTATTATTATTTGGCCACAGGTGGGGAGAGGTGGTGAGACAATATTAGTCTAAGTGATCCTGTAATCTATCATGTGACCTAAAAGGTTAAGGTTATGTCGCTACATCCTTTATAAATGCACACACTCCTAGCAATTTATGGCAGAGCCCCTACCAACTAGCTCTGGGTCATAACTTTTAATAAAAACATTTTTTAGTGTCCAAAATCTCATTACATCTGTCCAATATAAAAAAGCAAATGGCTTCAGAGCATGATGGATGAATTAAATAAATTTGAAAAACAGCCTGTGGTAGAGGCTCATAAAAACCCCCACCATGTCCCATATAATGAAAATGTGGGAGGATAACCAGTGTCAGCATGAGCATGTTGTCACCTTCCTGGGAAAGGAGAGGTAGCCTTTGGTGAGGTGTGGAGTTGAGGTGTGATGAGGCGATTTCTTTGAATTCAGTTGAAGCTTGGTCCGAGCAGATGAACAAATGCATTTTTTGGAATCACACAGATATGTACTGGGTCCTGGCCACGTCAGGCCATGGATGCGCTGGCCATGTAACCCTTGACAAGTTGATTAGCCTCAGTTTTCTCATCTTTAAAGTGGAGTGGGTAATGACAACATCATGGCAAGTTTATTGAGCAGTTTAATTGAGATATGTGTGCAAAGTCTTGTTTGGTGTTTAGCACACAGTAGATGCCCAAGGACTAGTAGCTATTATTATCTTCTCCTATTATTGGCTCATTTCAGTAATGCACATGAACAATTTATTTATTTTTATTTTTATTATTTTTTTAGACAGGGTCTTACTGTGTCGCAGGCTGGAGTGCAGTGGTGCAATGTTGGCTCACTGCAACCTTTGCCTCCCAGGCTTAAGTGATTCTCCTGCCTCGGCCTCCTGAGTAGCTGGAATTATAGGTGCGGGTACCACCAGGCCTGGCTGATTTTTGCATTTTTAGTAGAGATGAGGTTTTGCCAGTTTGGCCAGGCTGGTCTCGAACTCCTGACCTCAGCCTTCCTCAGCCACCAAGCCTGGCCCCAAAGCACATATTGTTTAATGTTAGGAGACTATTATTATATAATATTTGGAAATAGAGGGAAAAGAAATGAAGAAAATCTTTCCGATGACCTCTCTTTAGAAACCACCTCCAACCAAGAGCCCAGCACTTCCTAGACCTCTCGTCCTTACTTCTGAACCCTTCAATCCATTCTTGACTCCATCTTCTCTCTTTTGCCCTGCTCTTGGCTACAGTCTTGCCTGATCATCTTCATCCCATCCATATCTCTTTTTACCTTGTGGCTACCTTACTGTTCTAACTCTGGCTCAGTCATTTCTCAGAGCTGCTTTCTTACAGTTACCTGTTTGGGGTAACCTTTGGAGACACCCAGTGCACTTCCTCCAGCCAGTGGGGAGATCCTTCCAGCTAATAAATACACTTTTTCCCAGGTGATTCTTATGGACAGAAACTAATCTACTCCCTAGTCTCTCCAAATTGCTAAATCTTGTTTTACCCACAATTACCACTTGAGTTTTAATTCATGTATATTAAAGTCTTTTTTGTTTTGTTTCTTACAGATTTTTCTTTCATACTATCATAGCATGTACACAGTTTTGTATTATTTTAAAAACTCAACATGACATCAAATTTACTTGCAACTTAAGCTTCCAGTGAGGAAATATAAAAGAAGGCATTTTCTCATGTTGTTTCAATATGGTTCGGGCTCGGATCTTTATTAAAACACTGAAATAAAGTTCCCACAGGGAGTTATCTTCCTATAATCTCTTTTTGAAACAGTGGGGACACTATGATTCCATTACTGAGTAAGGCAACGAGGAAGACCAGATTCATGTTACTCTTACAGGAAAAATGACAGTGAATAAGGGACTTGGGATAAAAAAAATCTCACAAAGGAAGAAAATCTTTTTTATGGCTTCCAAATCAGAAACTTCTCACTCCTGTCTGCACAATGTAATCCTTTGGGGCAGCTGCTGATGCCAGAGCTACTGATGCCAGAGCCACATCATCAGAGATTTGGATTGTACTGGTCTAGGGTGGGGCCCTGGCATCAGCGGGTTTTAAAAGCTCCCCAGGTGATGCTAATGTGCAGCTGGATTTGCAAATCACTACGCTGGGGAATACACTCTCAGTACGAATAATTAGCAGGTTCCTAGGAAAACTGAAGCCGCCTTGATTGATTATGCAATTGATTAATTAATTTCTTCAATGAACATTCACTGGGTGCTTTCCACATGCCATGTCCTGGCTGGGCACTGGCGATACCTGGATGAATAACACATGGTCCTTGTTTTCATAGGTCAGAGCAGAGCTATGCTGTATCATCTTTGTAGCTTGGGGTGGACAGTTGTGGGACAAGGACCACACAAGGCTTCTAGATCTAAACTCAGAGCTCAGACCAAGACTGAAAAAAAAAATTCAATTTTCCATTTAGAAGGCTCAAGAGAAATGGATTAACTTAAATGATTTGTAACTGCACTAAGGTGGGTACTATTAAGGACAACTACTGATTCCAGGCATCCGAATGCATGTTACCTTTCCCTAATGAATGATTTAACAAGGAAGACACATGCTAATGAAGACTAATTCCTTCTGGGGTATCTAAGAGTTTATGCTCTTCATCACCTTTACCCAAGAGTAAACAGCCACTTTCCCATTTCCTGGCAGAGAGAGATAGGAAAGCTCTGTTTGGCAATTGAAGAACAAGGGCAAGTGGCTTGAGATGGGGAATAGCAACTCTAATGTTAATAAATGATCTCTAGACCAGCGCTGTCCAGTAGAACTTTTTGGGATGATGGAAAGTTCTCTATCTGTGTTGTCCAATACAGCAGTCAGTGGATACATGCGCACTTCAAATATGGCTAGCATGCCTGATGAACTAAATTTTAAATTTTATTACATTTTAATTATTTTTGATTTAATAGCCTCATGTGGCTAGTGGCTATAGTATTGGACAGCATGACTCTAGATAAAATATATTAAAAAATAAACTTCCAGTTAACTGGGTGCTTCCCAAATACTGGACATAGTCCTTGCTTATATATTTTCTATTCTTTTAAAGAATATCCTATATTTGCATTGACTGGAAGATTTCTATGGGAGAATTGATTTCTTTGCTGTGTCTAGACAGTACCATGAAATCAAATTCAGTTTGCAAAAACAGCAGACTTCTTCTAGCTATAAGAGGTTTTTTTTTTCTTTCATTGCTGGCGCTAAGTGAAAGCCAGATATTTGTGAGGTTTTTCAGAAGAAAGTGAAGATTCATGTTTCAAATGGAAATCCATGAAGTTTCATTAGAACAGAAACAAAATGGAATCCCATTGAATGCCTAAATGTGCCAGGCCTACTGAGATTTTGGGGATCGGTGGTCTTGCTGGACTCAATGCCTTGATCTAATAGAGAAATTGGTGCTGCTTTGAGGTTTTGTCTTTATAATGATTGAGAACTTGCCTCTAATTACTCCAATTTGGGCCTCACT